CGCTGCCATTGTTGTGCTGAGACCGGTACCTTTGAGATCGAGACTTTCACCCATCTTTTCCTTGAGAGTGAGACTGTGAGGAGAGTGTGGAGCACTATGCCAAATATACTCATATACCCCTACCCACTACAGACAGTTTTTTTGAGCTTCTATGTTTTTTCTCACACCGCACACACAGTAGACACGTGGGCTTCCTTTTTCCTTGTCTGATCCTATGGGCCACCTGGACAGAAAGGAATAATGCGAAGCATAGGGATATTATATTTTCTTGTGCACATATTATTTTGCAGGTTGACAGACACCTCTCTCTCCTCACCGCCCTGGGTAGACTCACGACGAGAGACTGGACAGGGTGTACACCGCCCCATCGTTTGAGGCCACCGCCTCCTTTACCTGTCCAGCATCCATGACCCTGGATCGTTGTTTGGCTGAAACCCATGCCCCTTGGGTTAAGCTAAACAGTGATGGCGCTTTTGACAGACATACCGGAGCTGCTGGAGGAGGGGGCCTGATTAGGGTCATGGTGGGGCACTCATCTCTGCCTTCCATGGGCCACTCCGGGCCTCCTCGAGTTATGATGCAGAGATTCAGGCGCTCCAGATTGGTCTTGAGATTGCCGTCTCGATTTCCTCCCATATCTGGATAGAGATTGATGCTGCAGTTGTCATCACACTTTTGACTTCTGGCCACCAGGGCTCATGGCAGATCCAACATCCTCTTATGCGCATCAGAGACACCCTCCGCCCGATCCATTACCAGGTCTCACACATATTCCGGAAGGGGAATCGGCCCGCTGATTTTCTTGCTAGCACGGAGGCATCTATACCCCAGAGACGCACCCTTCTTCCTGAGGACATTCCCCTCCGACTTCGGCGCTCATTCGGATGGACCAGCTAGAGTACCCATCCTTCAGATTCGGTCGACCGCCACCATCTGCCCCTGACTACATTTGACGTTTGGGACCCCATGACAGGTCACTCTGACCAGGACGACCTTTTACGAGGATTTGATTTTAGATTCACATCGGATATTTTTGTGATCCTTGTACTTTTTATTTTTCTATTTTTTGGATGTTGCCCGATGTATTTTTGACTTTGATGTAGACCGTTGACTTATTAGACCTCTCTGGGCCATTATATTCACATGTCGGGGATGCAGCCTCAACCCCCATCTCACTCTGGAATGTTTATATTAAAAAAAAAAAAATTGTCAAAAGTTTCATAATGGCGCAATAATAAAGAAAACAATTGTGCATCTTGACACGAAAACTTATGACATCAAACACCAACTATATATTAAAAAAAAAAAAAGAATAATAATAATTAGACCATCTTATTTGTTACCTAATTAAACACGTCATTGTGAAAGGGTTGATATCACTTATCCATTTAATCAATTTTCTGTTTAATAGAAGTCCTCTTGGTTAGCTGATCCATAATGCATCTGCCCAATATGTGAATTGTGAATTGTGAATTTAGTTTCGCTTTCAACGCTTTCTTTGATTTGCTTCACTTTTCATTCTCATGAAAAGTAAGGACAAGAATAAATACAAGTTACACACATTATTCATTGGGACAGATAATAATTAATCAACAGGGTTGCACCACAGACTGCAAAATTACATTATCTTCCATTGAATTAATGATAAAATTGAAATAAGAGTTGGTTCAAGTTAATTTTGAAGCGAATATTATAAAATTCTTCAAATGTTTATGTACTTGCTTATCAACAGCATGTGGTTTCCAAATGGAGATTCACGAATTTTTATTGGAGGCACCATATGTTAATTAACAATATATAAAAATTAAATTACCAAAAAAATAAATAAATAAATAAATGTAATGTCGAAACAAAATACACATATAAATTGTTCCCTACAAACTTTCATCTATATGCTTGTTTTGGCAAAACGAGCACCTGCAAAGGCTTATGAACACTCAAGAGGAACAAGATAGAAAGATACAGCAACTGCTGCGAAACAACTTACACAAAAGCAAGAGAGTATTGACTTCCACATCTGCATTATTATGCCCTATAACCTCTGGGAAGTTAACCAAAATAACCGAGCGTGACAAACACTTTCAATAGCTCCAACAGCTTGCACTCAAAGAATACACCTGGAGTTTCGGTCATTTTTTCTTCACCGCCTGAAACAGATATCTATCTACGCACGATTCGATTGGTGGCACGTCTCAAGACAAAAGTGTTTTACCGAGAAACTCTTTGACTGTTAACATTTGTCTCCACGCCCGATGTTTGTAAAGCATTGATCAGCTGAGAAATATCACTTTGTAATGCTTCAGCAGTTACCTAGGCCAATACAGCAAATATAGTTTTAGCAGGTGCGGCAAACCAAGAAATATTGCAGTTACAAAGAGACAAAGTACAAGTGAAATATAAATGTGTGGGGATAATTACAAACTTCGTATTACTGACAAAAAGAAAAAGGAAAAATGCCAGGTATCTTTTGAAATTACAATCTTAATACTTGTGAAGTAAACAAAAACCTCAAGGGGATGTCTGTACTCTGTAGTACCGAAACAAGATAATGGTCCTTTTCATACCAAGGCAAAAACCTCATAGGTACTTTATGTGATACTCCTTTGGGTGTATGTGTAATATGTAAAATGGAGTGAAGGTGTTTTCTCAAAACAGAGTGTTGCCATTTTACTGTTCGCCATTATAAATGTTTTTGGCACTTGCAGTTGTACTTGTGAGTGAGAAATCGAATTCAGTCACTGATGAAAAGTATAAACAACATGGAAAAAGTACGTGTTTGTTCTCCTCTTTCTGATGCTTTAAAACATCCAAGGGCCACTCGCTCACTAGCTTTTGAAGTTCAACTGCAATACTTGATTTTCTTGCGTCGGGTAATGTCTGGACATAAAAACAGTATATGCTAAATGTGAATCCTGAATTATAAAGACAAGGGCAGTGGAGAAAGCACGACTAAAAATGAATTCTCATTTGGTTATTTCATCTGAATCAGGCAGATTTTTTTTTTTTTTTACATGTTACGTTCAAGTATGCTAAGATAGTTTTCCTGGTAGTTACGGAACAATGCTGCTTCATATCTTCTACAGACATAACATGTACTATACGGGCTTGATTGTTTTGCGTGACGGGATTCGACTAAATTAATAATAGGTGGGTGGATTGTACTGTATGGATAAAATTAAATTCATATATATAATACATGATTGATAGTTCGGATAGGATTAGCGTTTTACTTCTGATAGTGTTTGTTTCTCTTGATAGTTCATTGGATAAAATAGTGTATTGTCAATTTGATCCCTATCCCCTCAAAAATACCAACGTCGCATATTTTTCTTTTTCTTTCTGTATAATTTTATATTTTCTTTCTCATTCAATCTTCTTTTCCAATCTTTTTTTCTTCTTCATACTACCAGCAACATAAAATTTCCAATCTTTTTTTTTTCTCTTTCATACCAACAGCACCAACAAAATTATGATTCAGAGAGGTGTATTTTTGTGGCCTCAAGTGTGTGTTATGAAAGAACAAAAAGAGATGTGGTCGAATTTGGTCTGCTCCTTCCACAGGAATGAGAAAAGGAAGCAAAGGAAAAAGTAACGGGGTAGAGAGAGAAGAAAAGAGAAAGGGAAGAAAAGAAAAAAGAATAAGAAAAAGATTCAATATCATTTTGAAGTAGGATAAGTTCAATCAACCCAACTTAATCTGGATACATGATCTGGTTGGTATATTGGGGATAGAATTTTGTTTAATCCCAGGCCTCTAACTATCCACCGGGACATAATCATGGATAATAAACAAAGGATACCGCATGGTAAATACCCCTATCCTCTCCCATCAATGCAACCAAATGAGGCCTAAGAAGATTATTACATCATCTAACTTGGACTCATGGACATTTCTATGTTAACATCCAATATATCAATCAAGGCCAGGACAAAAGGTTCAACACAGGTGGTTTCTGGTTTGACCAATAAAAAAAGCATAATCCATGAACACAAGAATAACTTTGTTTTTATGCTGCAAAGATTCGACTATGATACAAATTTACCTGATATAAAACTTGAATGATGGCAGAAGCATCATCAGGCTTGCGTTCAAGGAGGAGACCCTGGAAACACCAAAATTAGTACACAAACATGGTACAAATAAAAAGTCAAATTAGCACATTTAATTATCAGTGCGTAAAGGAATTCTAGCAAAATATCAATCACGACTGAAAAATGTCAAATTTCCATCCTCCTATCCCTCCCATACACAAAAGGGGAAGGAAAAGAGCAAATCACTAGAGGTGAAACTTGAAAATTCAAACTGATGGATATAAACACATGACTACCTTCACACAGGAAAACCCAGTTGAAATACTATGCTGTTTCATTGCTTCTGATCGCCACTTCTCAATCTTCCATAGGGACTCGACATCTCCTACAGTAGGGATAGCTAATGCATTAGACAATAATCTCTCTTTCTTCTTTCTGCTTTCTTTAAGATTATGCAAGCCCCAGACAAAAAAGCTTGACTTAAATGCATCAAGCTAATTCCTTTGACAAATCAAAGACCCCTGAATGATCCAATCACGAGATAAAAGAAAACAAAATAGATGGTGTAGGACCTTTCTTGGCAGCAAATTCCATCCATAACTCATAGGATGACTGTCTGAGTTTAACTCCAGACTTGATAAACCTTTTTCCGTTCTTACACATCAAATCAAATTTTTCTGCATTATAACAAATGCTGCAACAGCATAATCAAAAAGGGAAAAAAAATCAAGATTCAAGTGGTAATGTCAAACAAAATTGTGGAGAAAAAAGAACTAATAAATATATAAACAAACATGGCACTCCACTAGTGCCACATTAATGATGTTACTATCTATCTGTAAGATTAAACTGAAAGAAAACTCATTTTTCAGCCAGCACTGTTGCGGTATATGCAGGCTGTCGTTGAGAAAAGTCAATGTTGAAGAAAAAGAAACTGAACAGTATTCCGATGGATGTATACCTGAAAACTATATCTGCAGTGCCAGGTTGTGGAGTTAAAAAATTGATTTTCACATGTTTCATTATTTTAGTCATAAGTTTCACATCATTGTGTTGCTTGGCATGAAGCTGCAGTCATGAAACAAATGTTTTTCAATTAGGTTGATATGAGTAGACAACCACAAATGGGTACAAATACAACATATCCTGTAGAAGATTTTCATACCAGCAGAATGTGAGCAGATCCAATATCAGGAGTTAGTCCAAGCAAATTACGTCTCCACAAAGTCTTCTTGCCTGTTTGGAAATGAATTGAGAAGGCTTTAAATCTGGTGATAAGGAAAAAAAGGAAAGTGAAGGACACACTAGACCAGCAAACGGAGTGGACTTCTTATCACCAAAGCCGTCATAAGTTTCTTGAAGAAAAAACTCAGATGTCAATGCATCGGTTTTCACTACACAAATAGATATAAGTTTTCACTACAGATAAGTTTTCAAGCAAGATAAAACTTATTCACAATTTTATTTCTCTTGCATGTGAATCAAACAACCCCATAACTAATCGATGTGGGATAAACATATCTTCTAACACCCATATCAACCGACCAGCCATGGAAAGAATTATGCTTTAGCAGCGGGTACATACAAAAGACCATAACTCTTATACTTGTGCTACAAAAGCAACAAGGTTGCAGATATCTTAAGTTTGTTTTTCTAGCCTGTGACAAAATCTTTTAACCAAAAAACTTTTACTAGTTACCAATCAAACATTATTTCTAGCATCCGAGGAATTTCTCTACTAAATTGCCAGTACAATAATGACAGCATTGCAACCAAGTTTATGGGGGCTCTCACCATAAGAAATAATGAACAAACAACAACTATGAAAGAAAGATTATTATTGCTGTGAGAAACAGCTTGGTGAGATGTACCGATACCAAAAAGAGTAAACTAGAGTATTTCATAGCGTGATTCAGAATTTCCTCTGTAAATATAACATTCAGAAATTTGGTATCGGTGACACTCTATTATGATGACATAATTCTCACCCAAATCAATTGCTCCTGCACGAACACAGGCCGTTGTAATTTCCTTGCAAAGTGCACTATTAAAGTCATCGGGCATCCGAAGATCGGAGAGCCTCTGCAGCACACAACAAAAAGAAAAATATATAAAGTATGGAAGTTAAGCAAAATGTTAAGCAATGAAGCAGAGAAGCACTAACAAATCTGCGAAGTTTCTGCAAAATATCAAACAGGAGCTCAATGTCTTCCTGTGTGGAACATTTAGCAATGAGTGACCACAGCCAAGCATTTGGAGGGGCAGTTCTTTTCTCTGTCACATAGTTCACCAACTTATCATACAATCCTTTCACTGTCTCTGCATTTGAAGCAACAAAAGGAGCCTTTTTTACATGAGATACACTTCAAATTTAAAATTTTTGAAATCACTGAATGAAGAAAAATATATACCTGCAGAATCATTTTCAGTAGCTCTTGCTTCAGAGGAAAAGAATCTATTTGGCATATTTGGCATCACCATTAGTGACATTGCAACTTTCCGGTGATCGGATTCAAGTCTCAAAGTTCCATCAGTATTGCCTGAAAATTTTACATTCACATAGAAAATTATTTGGCATACATATATGCTTATAGAAAAACTAATGTGCCTATTTTATGCATACGAGAAACACACTCATCTAAAAACATTCATGCTTACTTAATTCCATCTCTTTTTACGTAGTCACGTGTTTAACATTGCAACTAATCGTTCGGTAAAACATACTTAAAACTCACAAAACTAGTTCACCTACACTTATTGCGTGTCAGAAGATTACAGTGAATGAATGCCCTAAAAACAAAATGAATCAAAAAAATTTGACATCCAAGTACGCGCACATCAAAATAGATTGAACCTTAACTACGTATCCTCGCAATAAGACATTCATCACTAAATCTTGTACATAACCAAAACAGTGATGTCCTAGCACTCAGCTCAGTTAAATTCAAATCATATGCTTCTTTCGCCAAACGAACTAAATCATCAAAGTCATTCATATTCAAACTAATGAAATAACTATTGAACTTCACTCGCTCGCACCCTTTTCCCTTCTTATGCGTACCAGCGTGAGGAAAACAAAAACACGAAATATAAATTACCGGAGGCCAGTGCGGCCGACTGAAGGGGGCGCAGAGACCGACGGCGACCGAGCTCACGAGAATTGTCAATGGCAATATCCTCAGGACGGGAAGCCGTAACTCGTTCGGCGGCATCGAAGACGGTTGCCGGCACATATTTGAAAACCCTAGCCAATCGGCGTGATTTCGTTATTCTTTCAATAGCTTGCATTATGCATTCCAGTGGGAGATGGCTTCTGGTTCCAACTTCCAAATTTGCCAAACAAGTTCAGAATTATTAATATTATTTTCTCTATGCAATCTTCTAATTCAATTATTTACAGTGCATACCGAGTAATTTGCAAATATTACTAATGCGATGCGATTATCTTTTAGCTACTTTGCTAATGCGATTTTTATTTTTGAGTTTGCAAAAATATCACATATAGAGAGGGGAAACGGATTGAGGAATTCCAATATGATATATATTACACTTAGGCATCATTTACTAACCATGATAGGATAGGATAAGGTTATTAACCAACCTTATCATATGTTTACTAAGTTGATTAGGGATTAGGACTTTTTGATGTGTCAATTATGTGTCATGTACGTCCCGCGTCGGTAGAATGATGTGGCCGGTTAAATTTGTCAGGCCTTTTTGCCCTGACAAAATAATCCCCATTTGGAATTCCCATTTTGCCCAAATTTAAGCATGTAAAATGTCGTTTATGCCCATACATGGCATCTAAATTACAGATATAGGCACATATAAACATTTTGCCTGTCCGAAAATTCAGAAGAGTTGCTCGACATTGTTGTCTGCCCTAGCTCCGTGCCTCCGCCCGTAAACGACGAGCACATTCTTCTTCTTCATTTTTTTTTTCTCTTCTTCTTTCACCTTAACCATTCCAAAACACAACCAATAACAATTGCCCAGAAGCATATGAGTGTACAAGGGGGAAACAAAACGCCGGTTTAGGGCATATGAGTGTCAAACTTGTCGGTAAAAATTGTCCAAAAAAGGGCATAATCCTTAGGGGAAAAAAATCCCACTTTTGAGATTGCAGAACCTGAATCAATTACGAATTATCAAAATCCAATTGCAAGCTATCACAAAATCTTAATATATAGAAAAAGCAAATTAACATAAAATCTGTTCGTGCTCGTCGTGCTCGGCAATGAGGGTCGAGTGTTTTACGATCCAATCCCTTTGTTGCCTCGTCAAAACGACTGACTACCGGCGAGAAATCTTCTTCGGCCTCGCGCGGTTCTCGTCGATTTAGGGCAGCAATGTTTGTACAGAAGAAGAGACGAAGACGGTCGGAGAAATTAATCTGGACTTGGATGGGGAAGTAGAAAGAGTGGGGGTAAATTTGACATTCCACCTTTTTAACAAATTTGCAACCTGACTTTAGTAAACAGAGGATGAGATTAAAGGAACATTGGTGAAAGCTGACTCATTGGACTATTAGTCCAAACCCAATAAATCCCCATCAACCCTAGTAAATGAGGCCTTATATACCTATTATATACTTATTTATAAAATTACCAAACCAAGTAAAAAATATTACAATTATATCTAAATAAAACTGCTACAATTAATTAGGCAATTAATTGGAATTATGATATATCTTGAACAAAAAATTGAACAATATCATTCTAATCCCAAAAAAAAAATCGTCCATTATCTCTCTTTCCTTCAATCATATTACTTCCTAGTCAATATGTGTGCAATCAAATTCATACACAAGATATTCACAAACCTTTCATGGAATAACAGTTTATGCCGTACAAATAAAACGATACCAATCAGAATCACACCCACAGAGATAACGACCATCAGAAACAGATAAGACAAGGAAAGGGAAAAAGCTCAATCCGTCATGGATTTGTGAATGAGAAATACAACTTTCCTAAGGTAACTGATATCAAGTATATCTCCAATTAATTCAATAGTTTTAGGTACATATGCAATGAAACTTATAGTAGCTGCAAAATCGCAAATAAATCTAAATCTTGTAGGATAGATGAAAATTTCCTGAATAGATTTTTGTATCACAAATTGCCCGTGTTTGCATGGTGGGATTTGGGAACTTGCTTGGACCTACTAGCCTTGTCTACCCAATGGACCCAAACGTTTTACAGCTCCTAAATATGGGATTTTACAGCTCCTAAATAGGGGAAAAAGGCAAATGAATCTTGAGAAAATTATCCATGCATCCTTGCTAAGCATTTAATTTTAATATAACTATTTTTTTATCTTTTTAAAGTCAATTATACACATAGTAGTACATATAATTCGTTTCAAATGAAATTTGTACAAAATATGCTAATCTTTTGGTAATAAGTTGTTGATGGGTCTCCTCCTAGATCCAGAGTGAACCGATGGAAATGAGCTCCGATCTGCACGAATCGTCTCCGAGCCGCTGTTAGACCGCCAAGACACCTGCAAGAACTCAACGCCGGAGGTGTTTCCGGCGTAGAGCCTCCGACGCTCAAGTCAGTATATGAAAGGGATGAAGAGAAACTACTCTGAGAGAGCAGCAACAGCTATAGAAGAGAGTATGGAACGAATGGGAGTTAGGGTTTAGGGTTACCTCTTCTCCTTTATATAGGAGGAAAAACCTACCTGAGATACCCAAATTGCCCCAGTCGGTGGACCTAAAAGGTCCAAAATGCCCTGGTCGATTCGTCTCCCCTCCTTGCTGAGTCATACCAAGATTCCTTCTTATCCATGAGAGAATAAGAGATCCCAAGGGGTGTGTCAAGTGCGTGGAGTCGTCAGTATGATTTATGTCTCGAGATGTGAGGAGTCGACATAGAGTAAGAATGATTCATCCTGGGATCTGGCTCAACAGCTAAGCTCTTGTTATTCAAGCGAATATCGACTATCAGAGAGTCGACTGAACAAAGTCGACTTCTAGACGTCGACTTGTATGAGATCCACCTTTTGTCACAATCCTCTGATAATGAGTCGACTTTGAGGAAGTCAACTCAGGGGAGTCGATGAGCGTATATCAAAATGTGGGCAGCTTCATCTATTCTCCGGTCGAGTGGAGAGCCTTTGGGCCGATATATTTTTATATGGTTGTATCATCTAGTCCCCCCCATAAATTCCCCCGACACGCTTGACCATCTGATCGATAGGGGCCTCGAATCATTTGAATCGGTTGAAGTAGTTGGTTATAGAATGGTTAACGCTTCTCCTCATTCCTCTTCTTCCCAAGCCTTTGCTCCAAAAGTCGACTGGGTTGAATATGACCAAGCGCGCTAGAGGGTGGTTTGGTAGAAGTCTCAAAAAATCCTCCTCGAGGGAGCTCTCCTCATCTCGGCCCGTTTCCTCGAGGTATCCCCATTAGGTTAATAGATATTCCTGTATATAGAACGAGTCTGTATTTTTTCCAATAATTACTCCTCTTCTCGACTCTCAAATGTTGTATCAATAGCTTGTCCCTTGGCCAGGTTAGCCGTTTTGAATCCTTTCTCTTATGCCTCTGCAGCTCAGATCGAGGGCTTTAGACAATTTAGTGGGCTTCCCTCTGACTGGGAGTTGGTCGCCCCGGGTCCCAACAATGATTTTGCCCGTCCTCTTTCTAGTTGTCATACCTTATTTATCGACCAAATCGTCTTCGGCCTTCGTTTTCCTATTCAGGACGAGCTCCTGCAGATCAACGACTTATACAAGATACCAATAAATTAGTTCTCCTCGAACACTGTTTGCTTCATGATAGCCTTTATAGTTGTCTCCCGTATAGTACTTTATTTATTTTCGCCTGAGTTTTTTTTTTTTTTTTTTT